TTAACCATCTGAGCCACCCAGGCGCCCCTTAATTACTTTTTAAAGACAGTCACATTGTGATATAGTAGGGAATAGGCCCTCAACATATGAATTTAGGGGGGACATAACAGTCCATAACAGCATTAACCTCATTAAGTATGAGAAGTGGAGTCCCACAGTTGCTCCTCAGCCTTTCTTTCTTATGCAGTCTGTCTCTGTTATTTAAGGAGTGAAAGAATTAGAGTTGTGTCCAGGAATATATAGAAAAGGGACACAGAGGGATGGCCGGATGATCCATAATCTGAATTAATTCATTGGAAGCAAAGGCAAGGGATCAAAAATGACTAGGACTGCTATAAACCCCAATTAATATTTTAGGTCACAGAGAGGAACTTAGAGTTTCCCATTAGACCCAGGAAGGAGATGAGAGCCCATTTTTGTTAAAACCTTAATGGACATAGTGATGACCCCAGCAAGCACCAATGGCTTTAAAAAGAGAAGATTTTATTTCTAGATCACCTAACAGTCCAGCCATTGGTTGGAGGTGTGGATTGTTAGTGACTTTGGGGTCATCAACAAGTGGAAGGTGGAGGAGGGAGAGTGTGCACTGAATACTCTTTATTGATCCACCCAGAATGAACTAAACAGGGCCTCTGACAACTTCTGCACAAGCAGTTTGGGTAGATAGTGGAGCAGAAGCTAGGGACTCACATTCACAAATATTTTTGAAATCTAATTATTGAGCTGCTGACCTACTGGATTTCTTGAAGGAGAAATGGGATTTTTGAAGCATATTGGGATGATTGAAGCATAACTGAGCAGTGAGGGAGTGAAGTCCATGAATGCAGACAATGCCAGAATGAATAAGTGAAATGACATTTTAAAAATGAAATAACATTTATTGGGCATTTATGTAAGCAAAGTTCACACCCCCCCATTCAGTCATCATAATACCACCATGACATAGTAACAAAGATACTCTTCTTCACCGAGCTCTAGCCACACTCCTCTGAGCCTCACCCAACTCTAGCCACACTCCTCTACTAGGCCTCAACGTTAACCTACAAAGACTTAAACACTAATATAGTTTCTAGCAACTCCAGGCCACATTCCTAAGATGACCCTAGCCCCCCTTAAAGTGCCTGCATGAGAAATATAAGCCAGCTATAGAAATTAATAAAGAGAAACCTTGAGTATATTGGTGTTGGTTTTCCCTGTAAAACAAAACAAAACATTAAGTTATCAAAAAAAAAAAGAGAGAAACCTTACTAAAATGCAGTCAGGAGGCTAGAAGGTGGAGCTCTGGTGCCCTACCACTGGACATCAATCACAGGAAGAATTGTCAATTACAGACCCATCAGGAGAGGATGTACATTGTATCTCCTTCAAGAAATCCAGTAGGTCAGCAGCTCAGCTGATGAGAAACCCTGTCACCCTGAACTCTTGCTTTTCTCCAGTGGGTTTTGGTTTCAAAACAACCCCTCCCAACTTCTCTCCTCTGTTGGACTAACCTATGGTTGTATCCTGTGGCTTGTCTCAAATTGCAATTCTCTGCTATTCCCAAATAAACCTATTTTTGCTGGTAAAATAACTTTTATTTTTAAGGTCAACACTGCCAAAAGAATTTATTGCTTGTTCCAGCCAACACCTGAAGACAACCCCCCCAACCCTCCACCCCCCACTTTCTGTGGGAGCCTAATTTTGGATAAGCCTCCCTTAGCTGACCCAGACAGGTTTAACCTGGCCAAACGCGTTCCATGATTTTTGTAATTTTTCACTTCCCTGATTCTATTATACAGGCCCGGTTCACCCACCTCCATATTCCCTCCTCCGTTTAAAACTCTCAGCCCCCTCTGTACAAACGGGAGTTTGAGCTCATTTGGTTAAGCGTCTGCCTTCCGCTCAGATCAGGATCCAGGCTCTCCGCTCAGGGGGGAGCCTGTTTCTCCCTCTCCCTCTGCCTGCTCTCTGCCTACTTGTCTCTCTCTCTCTGTCTGTCAAGTAAATTTAAAAAATCTTAAAAAAAAAAAAAAAGTTTGAGTTCAGTTCACACTGGATAGTCCCTTTTGCCGTAGTATATTTTATATTACTGAGTAAAACCTGTTCTCACGACTTTAACCAGCCTCCCCCTTTATCTTTGACAGTAGTCACTATTACGATCCCCGCTTTACTGATGACAACACTGACACTTAAAAGAGGTTGACATCCAAAAAAAAAAAAAGAGGTTGACATCCTTGCCCCGCGTCGCTCAGCGGGGCTGGGTGGGCTTCGCCTAGCCAGGGCTCCAAGTCTCCAAAAGGCAAGAGGCGTAGAGAACCGCTGTGGGCTCTGCGCCAGGAGGTGGAGCAGTTGCGAAAACCTGCGGCCCAGCTGCGAGCTTTCCCCGGCAGCGGACCGAGCAGTGGAGGGGCTCTTGGCACCTTCCCAGCCTGCGCCCAGATGCTGCGCGCCCTGACCAGCGGCCTGCGCCTTCCACGCCCCTGGAGGCCCCTTCGCACGCGCAGCTGCGCCTCCCACGGAGCTACCGGCGACCCCGAGATCCAAGTGCGCGCCCTGACCGGCCGCGACCAAGGTAAGTGCGCTGTCCCGGGGAGCGCCCAGGAGGCGCGGGAAGACGGACCAGTAAGGGGAAGGCGGGCCGCTCGCGGCGTTTGAGGATTTGATCCCCGGCTGCGGTTTCCCAGTCAAGGCTCCCCAAACCTTTCGTAAGGCCGGGGAGGAGGGTGACCACCTTACCAGCCGCCCCGACCCCTAATTGCGGTGTAACTCTACGTCAACCTAAGTCCCTTCAGTCCCCCATTCGGTGGCCTGGGGATGTGAAGGAGGGGAGGGGAACTCGCGCAGGGATAGGACGAGGCACCAGCGACCCACCGCTTCCACCCCAGTAACTTTAAAAGGCCAGTTGTCCGTCCCGGCCTAGAGTCCTGGCTCGGTTCCAGCGGGGCAGGCGGCGGAGCCAATCCCGCCAGCCAGGCAGGGCCGAGTAGGGGGAGAGGAGAGCAGAGGTTGGGGCGTCAGCTGCGCACGGCTCCCTGCGCTCTGGCCCTGCCCACGCTGGCCGACTTTTGTGCCCTTTTGCGTCAAAGAGAGAAAGTTCCCGCTGGTCACTGGTGACGTGGTTTGGAGCCTATGGCCAAGAAAGAATTCTGGATGCGAATTCGGTGCAAAAAGTGGTTTTATTTAAGCGCAGGGACAGGACCCGCGGGCAGACAGCGCCCTGGGGTTGTGAGGAGTGACTGATTATGTAAGATTTTCTGTCCTATGGAGGGGTGGGTAATGTTAGGGCTCCAGGAATCTATAGGTTTCTGGAGATTGCTTTTTTTTTTTTTTAGAAATCATTAAGACAGTTGCAAACTGCTGGAGACTCAAGTCCTGCGGGACTGTGATCCCTATCAGTTAACCATTTGTTTTTTTTTGTTCGTTTGTTTTGTTTTGTTTTTTAAAGATTTTATTTATTTATTTGAGAGAGAGAGAAAGCATGAGGTGGGGAGGGTCAGAGGGAGAAGCAGACTCCTCGCTGAGCAAGGAGCCCGATGCGGGACTCGATCCCGGGACTCGATCCCGGGACTCCAGGATCATGACCTGAGCCGAAGGCAGTCGCTTAACCAACTGAGCCACCCAGGCGCCCTAACCATTTGTTTTTTCCCCTTTCCTTTGTGCTGGGGCAGCCAGGAGTCCCTGAGGAATGTCACACACATTCCACCTGGGCCGGCGGGGGTTGGGGGGGGAGGTTGCCGCGTGTTAGCTTGTGCTTTGCCCTCAGCTTGCCTTCTGCTCCCTCATCAACGGGCAGAGAACATTTTCCGATTGCACCTGTTGTGTTGTTTTTGAGGGGTGAGAGGAGACCAAAGTGCATTCAGTGGCGTTACTCACACGCCTCAGTCCGCTGCCTGTTACCATCAGAGCAAAGCCATTTTCTTGGCTTTACTTTCTCCCCAGTCCCAACCCCTCTCCCTAAATTTGATGTAACAGAGTTTGTGCTTTAATTTACATAGTTCTAATGTACATAGATGGTGTCCTACTATACATTTTCTATTTATTTCTTCCTTTTTTCCCTGCTTGAGTCTAAGGTTTTTTTGTTTTGTTTTTGTTTGTTTTGACAAGAGAGAAGTTTTTTTTTAAGATTTTATTTATTTATTTGACAGAGAGAGACACAGCGACAGACGGAACACAAGCTGGGGAGCGGGAGAGGGAGAAGCAGGCTTCCCACAAGCAGGAAGCCCGATGTGGGGCTCGAAGCAGAAGGCAGAAGGCAGATGCTTAACGACTGAGCCACCCAGGTGCCCCTGGAGAGAAGTTTATTAAGATACAGAAAAAGCTCTCTATTGACTCTTCCGGGGAGCAAGAATTTTCTGTCCCCTTCAAGGTCTTTCTAGCTGGACTAAATTGACATGAAAATTCACACAGGAGAAAATCAAATTTAATTTTGAATGTACAGGGAATTCACACAGAATGGAAATTCCAAAAACAAGCAAAATGAGATATATATATGTCACTCTAAACTAAGGAGAAGAGGGTAGGGGTCTGGGACTTCAGAGGGAGGGAATGCAATTCACAGGAAGATAAAAGGAGTAAATGTTTGGTAAACAAATGTTCGCTGGGCCACCCAGAAACAATGGGACATAGAGGACTTTGATCAAACAGGCAATGGAGTACCTGGGCGGCACAGTCGGTTAAGGGGTTAAACTTCTGAGTCTTGGTTTCAGCTCAGGCTCAGCACTCAGCAAGGAGTCTGCTTAAGACTCTCTCCCTCTCGCGGGGCGCCTGGGTGGCTCAGTTGGTTAAGCAACTGCCTTCGGCTCAGGTCATGATCCTGGAGTCCCGGGATCGAGTCCCGCATCGGGCTCCCTGCTCAGCAGGGAGTCTGCTTCTCCCTCTGACCCTCCTCCCTCTCATGCTCTCTGTCTCTCATTCTCTCTCTCGCAAATAAATAAAATCTTAAAAAAAAAAAAAAAGACTCTCTCCCTCTCCCTCTGCCCCTCCCCGCCTGCTTGCTCTCCCGAGCTCTCCCTCTCAAATAAATAAATCTTTTTAAAAAATATTTATTTATCTTTTTATCTTTTTATTTCTAAGATCTTTTTTAAAAAGATTTTATTTATTTGAGAGAGAGAGCGAGCACGAGTGGAAGAAGCAGAAGAGGGAGAGGGAGAAGCGGACTCCCCACCGAGCAGGGAGCCCGACTCCAGCTGAATCCCAGGACCCCGGGACCATGACCTGAGCCGAAGCCAGACGCTTAACCAACTGGGCCACCCAGGTGCCCCTCAAGCAAATAAATCTTAAAAAACAAACAAACAAAAAAAACAGGTCTTGCTAGGTTCCTCCCAGTCTACCATACCTAGTTCATAGTAATGTAGTTATCTATGGTGATAGCTCCCTTCCTGGATCAGATCCTCTATCTAAATTCTTTTTAGGCAGTTGTGGGGGAGGTAAAGAGCTTTTTCTGAATCTGCTGGGTTTGATTGCTTAACTCAAATAATCTTCATGCCAAAGTGACCCAAAGCAGCCTGCCCTTGGCCCCTACAACTCCCACCTACATTACCTAGCCTGTGATCTAGGCCATCCAAACGTAAGTGACCCGAGGTCAGCTGCTAAGGAAATTATTAGCCAGTGGCATGGTGGGTTTGGTAAGAATGGAGATGGGGTGTGGTACAGACCTATCCCCACTGCAGAGGTCCCGTAAGGGCAATGTTCTCAGAATCAGGGCTCAACTAAAAGCTTAAGGACCATGGCTGAGTCGTCTCTTACTTCTCCAGGACCTGACATGGAGTAGTACAAATTGAATGAAAGCCAAAGATGCCCTGTCTGGCTCCTCACAGCACCCAGCTTGAAGTTCTTTCCTTTTATTGAATCCTGGAATTTTCCCTAGCATCTATGCCTTTTTCCTGCTCACTGTACCCACAAACTCTGGCTAAGCACTTATGGGCATTATATTTTTTCCTTTTTTTTTTTTTTTAAGATTTTATTTTTAAGTACTCTGTACACCCAGTGTGGGGTCTGAACTTACAACCTCAAGATTAAGAGTCCCATGCTCTACCGACTGAGCCAGCCAGGTGTCCCAAGGCATTATTTCTTTAAATCCTCATAATGGCCTTTTTATTATTTCTATTTATGGATCAGGAAATTGAAGGCCAGAAGAGTAAAGCAACTTGCCCAAAGCCAATGGCTAAGCTGTGACTTGAGCCAAGTCCCCTATTTGTATTCTGCAGGGAGGAGATAAAGATGGAGAGAACAGATAGAGATGAAATATGGGAGACAGCCAGAAAGAAAGGAGACAGAACAGGAAAGTGAAGAGGAGAGAGGAAAGTTTCTATCAATCTCAGAACGTCATGACCGTGATAGTTTTCTATTGCCACATAACAAATTACTACAAACTTTATTGCTTAAAATAATATACATTTATTATCTTATAGCTTCCGTAGGTGAGAAGTCCAAGCACAATTTAGCCGGATTCTCTGCTTCAGGGTTTTACTGAGCTGCAATCCAGGAGTTGGCCAGGGCTGTGGTCTCATCATAGGCTTGGCTGAGGAGAGATCTGCTTCCAAGCTTCTCCCGTTGATAGAATTCACCTCTTATGGTTGTAGGACTGAAGCCCTGTTTTCTTCCTCTTGGCCTGGGGGCCATTCTCAGCTCCTGGGGGCTGCCTCTAGTTCCTTGCCACATGACCCTCTCTGTAGGCCCACTAGTTTGTCTAGTGTACCCTAGCAAGACAGAGTCATACATACATTGTAACCTAATCATGGAACTAACACCTCATCACTTCTGCCATATAATTGAACCCCAATCTTGGAAGTGACATTTTATGATCTTAGCTGCATTCTGTTGGTTAGAAGCAATTCTCCTGCCCACACTCCAGGGAAGATTATTGAGGATATGAAGATTGGGCCCAGTCTAGGGTCTCTCTGCCACAAAGACCTTGGACCTCTACACTCTGACATGGTTTTTCTGTGTCTACCAGAGTTTCCCTTCCCCAAAGTTGCAGCATTTTCTTTCCTGGAGCACTAGAGCTGGAGAAGACCTTGGGCACATCTTTCTGTGGGACCTCCAGGCCTGCTGGGCTCAAAGAACTTTTTGAAGGTTTCTAGGGAGGCTAAGGAGCCCACCTAGTCTGAATGTTATGGTTTTCTCTCCTGAACCACAGTTCTCTAACTCCTGGCTGGAAACTCTGTCCCTTGAGAGCCCTGAAACTTTCATTGTCCCTTCCCTGTGTCACACAAATCAACTCACACTGAGAATGCCATCTTAATAAATACTGCTTGTTCCACAGACAAGGCTAAGAACCCTGGGATAAAATAATAAGAGGCCTTTGAAAGCTAAAGGATTGGTAAACACGGGAGGGAAAACAGCCAAGAAGGTGTAAGAGTATTTGAGCCCTTGCCCAGAGCCAGTCTCTCTTCCCTACAACTGGCCCAGATTGTGGGGGTGAGTTGAGGCTAGAGTGGGAAGCAATGGCCAGATTGGGGAAGGGGGGCATCTTTTGGGTGGTATTAAGGAATTTGACTTAATTTTGGTGAAAAGAGAAAGGGAAGGACATGGCTGGATTTGGGTTAGAAAGAGGATTCTGACCCAAATGAGGGAATGAATGTGGAGTGGGGAGGAGGAGCAAGACTGAAGGCAAGAGGGCCAGTTGGGTGATTCATGTAGTAGAAGAGAGCCCACACCAGGTTACTGGCTGCAGAGAGGGATATTAGCCAAAAGATCTGAGATCTATTTAAGAGGTTGAATTGGTTAAGGAGACTGAGTAAATTTCATGGGTGAGGAAGAGGGAGCAACAGGACAGACTCCTGGGTTAATAGAGCATTTGCTCTCCAAGGGTACAGGAGAAAGACCGATCCATGGAGTTTACAAGCTCTTCCAGTTCTGTGAGGCAGAAAGAACAAGGGGTTATTCTCTCCATTTTATAGTCAGGGAAACTGAAGCCTGGATGTATGTGACTTGCCTGAAGTCACAGTGCTCATTAAGGGTAGAGGTTGCCCAGAACCCAGGCTGCAGGCCTACTGGCACCCAAGGCTGCCCTGTCACCTACAGGAATCACTGAGATTCTGATGAATAGACCGAGTGCCCGCAATGCCCTGGGGAACATCTTGGTCAGCGAGGTGAGAAACGGCAGACCTCAGGGTGGGTGCGGGGGTGCTGGGCCGGGGCTGGACTGGGAGGTTTCTGACAAGGTCTCCTCTGCAGCTGCTGGAAGCTCTGGCCCAGCTACGGGAGGACCAGCAAGTGCGTGTTCTGCTATTCAGAAGTGGAGTGAAGGGTGTGTTCTGTGCAGGTGGGTTTCCTCCCCTGCCCCTACCCCGGGGCTCAGCAAGATACCCTCAGCCTACAGGGGGTTGGGGGCTTAGGTCAGCTCTAGCATAGGACTTACTATTCCCATTTTACAGATGTGAACTCAAATACTCAGACATAAAATTCCTTGCCTAGTGTTACACAGCTAGTAAGAGGTAGAATAGAATTTTAACTTGGCACCTCTGACCCCCAAATCCTTATTCTTTCTGCTACACCATGCTCTGTTCTGACCCTTCATTGAGGAAATGAGGAAACTGAATCCAGTGACATTCACAAGGTCTGTGGCCAAGATGGGACTCTGTGCCCCTTTGCCCACCCACAAGATCTCAGTCCCTGTCACCATAGCTCTCCACCGCCCCTGGACAATTTGGTCCTCACAAGAGGATAAGCACCATGAACTTCTGTCTCAAAGACAAAAAACGTCCCATCCCCACAACAAGAAGCAAGTGAGTGAGAGATATGCTGGGCTAAGAACCCACTCTGGGTGACTGGGGAAGGGACAGCAGTGGTCAATGGGAGGTGGGAAGAGGCCATGGGGCGCTGTAGGAGGTCTGGGTCTGTCCCTGACTTGCTCTGGAATCCTGGGATCGCCCCTATTCCTCTCTGGGCCTCAGTTTCTCCATCTGTCATTGAGGGGTTGGAACTAATCAAAGACTTGCAAGGGCCCTCAGCTCTGACTTCCTAATCTCAGACTTGAAGAGAATATATTCACCCCCTACTCCGACCTCCAGCCCCCTGCCATCTGGCCTTAGATGACACTACTCTCACCAAGGTCCTTGCCCACCTCCATGCCACTGTGTCCTGCCCTTGCTTCTCAGTTCTCATCTTACCTGACTGCTCAGCCTCCTTGGACCACACTGACCCCTCCTGTTAAAAAATAATCAATGTCAGCCATTTCTCAATAAAACTGGAAAGAAATAATACATTTTAAATATTATTTTATACATTTAAAATTGCGGTAAATCTATACAGTACACAGAGTTTACATTTTAACCATTTTTTTAAAGATTTTATTTATTTATTTGAGAGAGAGAGAGAGAGAGCACATGAGCGGGGGGGAGGGTCAGAGGGAGAAGCAGACTCCCCGCCGAGCAGGGAGCCCGATGCGATGCGGGACTTGATCCCGGGACTCCAGGATCATGACCTGAGCCGAAGGCAGTTGCTTAACCAACTGAGCCACCCAGGCGCCCCATTTTAACCATTTTTAAGTATAAAATTAAGTGACACTGAGTACATTCACAAGGCCATGCAACTATCACCACTGTCCAGTTCCAGACATTTTTCATCATCCCAAACAAATTCTGTACTCATTAAGCAATCCCTCCCCATTCCTCCTCCCCCAAACCAGCCCCTGATAATCTCTGTTGTACTTTCTATCTCAATCAATTTGCCTATCCTAGGTACCTCATACAAGTGGAATCATGCATTTGTCCTTTTGGGTCTGGGTTCTTTTACTTAGCATAACGTCCTCAAGGTTCATCCATAGTATAGCATGGCAGAACTTCATTCCTTTTTATGGCTGAACCATACTCCATTGTTTATATACTACATTCTGTTTATCTTTTTTTTTTTTTAAGATTTTATTTATTTGTCAGAGAGAGCACAAGCAGGGGGAGTGAAAGGCAGAGGGAGAAGCAGGCTCCCTACTGAGCAAAGAGCCTGATGCAGGACTCGATCCCAGCACCCTGGGATCATGACCTGAGCCAAAGGCAGACGCTTAACCAACTGAGCCACCCAGGTGCCCCTTGTTTATCTATGTTGATGGGCACTGGGTTGTTTACACCTTTTGGCTATTGTGAATAATGCTGCTATGAATCATGGCAGGCAAGTCTCTGAGTCTTTGCTTTTAATTGTTTCAGGAGTGGAATTGCTGGATCATATCATTCTACGTATAACTTTTTCAGGACCCACCTGAGTGTTTTCCATAGCAGCTGCATCATTTCCCGTTCCCACCAGCAATGCATCAGGGTCCTCCACACCCATGCCAGCACTTGTTTTCTGCCTCTGTTGTTGTTGTTGTTTATAATAACCATCCTAAATGGTGTGAAGCTGGTTTCTCATTGTGGATTTGACTTGCATTTCCCTAATGACTAATGATGTTGAGCATCGATTCTTGTGCTTATTGACCATCTGTATGCATCTTCTTTGCAGAAATGTCTATTCAAGTCCCTTGTCCTTTGTGGTTTTTGTTGTTGAGTTCAAGGAGTTCTTTATGTATCCTAGATTATTACTACCTTATCAGATATGTGATTTGCTAATATTTTCTTCCATTCTGTGGGTTGTCTTTTCACTCTTTTGATAGTGTCCCTTGATGCACAAAAGTTTTTAATTCTGATGTCCAACTTATCTTTTTGTTGTTGTTGCACCTGTCCTTTTTTGACACACAACCCCCCTTTTCTTCCCTGGCTTCCTTGACCATGCTTTCCTGATGTTTCACCTTCCTCTCTGGCTGCTTCTCCTCAAGTTTCTTGGCTGGATCCTTCAACGGCCTGGGATTCAGTAATGGGTCATGTCACAAAGGCTGTCACCAACCCCTCACCGTCTGCAGGTGCAGACCTGAAGGAGCGGGAGCAGATGAGTGAGGCAGAAGTGGGGATCTTTGTCCAGCGGCTCCGAGGCCTGATGAATGAGATTGGTGAGGTTCTTGGAGTGGGTTGGAGGAGGACATTCCATAGGAGTCAAATTTCACCAAGCATGCTTTCAGGCTTTGACAATTACTGTTCCTTTTGCCTGGAATTTCCCTCCTTGGCCACCTGAACTTTTTAGTCATCCTTTAAGACCACCAGGAAGCTTTATCTCGAAGCTTTATCAGAGCACTGATCACCCTGGGTCATCATTGCCTGTTTATAGGTCTGCCTTCCCCATGTCTATTCAGTTCTATGTTCCCAGCCCACCGAGTATGGGGCTTGACACGGAACAGAAAGGCTGGTCCCAGGGAGGCCAACAGGAAAGTGGGCCTGAGCGGGGATCATGTAGCCCATCTCCCCACTCTAGTATCCCAGCTGATTCCCCAACTTTCCCCAATAGGAAAACCTACTTCTAAGATAACCTGGCTGAGGTACCAGGTAATGTTCCAAACCTGGGACCAGTGAGGCCATAGCCCCTCCCCAGCCTTGAGTCCCTGTCCTGGTCCTGCCAGGGCCTCTCAGGCTGAGCCCTTCTTCATCTCCACAGCAGCCTTCCCTGCGCCCACTATTGCAGCTATGGACGGGTTTGCCTTGGGCGGAGGCCTGGAACTCGCCCTGGCCTGTGACCTCCGAGTGGCAGGTACTGGGCAGGAGGAGAGGTGGGATAGGGTGAGGAGGCAAGTGTAAGTAAAACAGAGTAAGTCTGGGGACTCTGCAAAGTTAGCCACTACTCTGGGCTTTCCAAACAGCAGCAAAACTAGAGAAAGGCGATGTGGGAGATCCAGAGTTTGGGTGTAAGCTGGTTCCCCTCCTGGCCCAGCCACTGACCGCTGTAGCACCTGTCACCTCCCAGAACCAGCCTCCCTCATCTCAAGAATGCTTCTACCAACCCCAGAGCAACTGGCTAGAGGACAAAAAGAGAACAGAGAGGGGAGACTGAGGACAAAGATTAATTGTTCAACTTTCCAGTTCTATGCAAGCCAATTCTGTGTCATGTTTTGCACAAAGACAGTCACAGGGGCAGTCTGTCACCAGTCCAGCTACTCACAAACATGCCTGGGCATGAACATTGCCCTCTGGTTCACTCTGGCACCAGCCAAGGTTTGCATTACTTGTTCAGAGCGGTTGAGCTTTGAAGAGTGGAGGGAGGGGATGAAGATAATTGATTGCCCTTCTAGGAGGCAGTTAGAAAAAGTCCGAGGGCTATCTGGTGCCACTCTCTTCTCTTCCCCTCGCTGCTTTCTCCTGCCACTCCAGGTAGAACATTTAGAAATATGTACCTCCAGGCATAGAGGTAGGTTGTTATGCTCCAACTTGCTTCTCAGGGGCCCATGTTTAGGGCAACTAACTTGCAGGGTTTTGGTAGATAGCGGAGAGAATATAAAACCCCTTATAGGCAGAAGGAATGGCCATTCCCTGTGGCCACACTGTGTGGTTCAGATGGCCTGTGAGGGGATTCAGGAGAAGCCTGTGGGTTGGGACGCTCCAGGAGAGCTCCTTAGAGGACACAGAACTCGGAAGGAGATGTGGACTGGAACTCAGGGAAACACAGGCTGGTGAAAAGCTGAGGGAATAACTGGTAGGAGCAGGAGCCTGAGGTAAGGGTCAAGTGAGACAGAGAATCCATTACCCCACAAACAGGCACTGGGCAACTTCCAAGAATCCCTTCCTTGTTACAAGCACCATTACTTCATTTGATCCTTAGCAGCTCTCTAAGGTAATCCTATTTTTTCCACCTGTGAATGAGGCTCAGGGTGAGATTGGCCTGGATGCATACCTTCACTCCTGGGAAGTAGGATGAGGGCCTGAGCTTCCGGACTTCTGTGCTAGAGCTCTTCCCAAGGCAGAGTCTGGAGAGGTCTGTTATGGCCCATGAAGTGGTTGGCTGGAGGGCTGAGCAGAGCCTAGAGGCAGATGTCTCTTCCCTCTGGGGACTGGCCCTGCAGGATAGTGTGGGTGCTTCACTCTGTTCTGTTTAAGCAGCTTCCTCAGCTGTCATGGGGCTGATCGAGACAACCCGAGGGCTCCTCCCCGGAGCAGGTAACTACCCACTGCACCCATCCTTCTCTTACTTAATCCCATTCTCTCCAGGTTACTTCCCTGCTTTCCTCTTTTGCCTTATGCTCTGGGCTCTGCCCTTCCATCCTAACTCAGAATCTGCTCCTTTAAGTCTTGGTTGACTCCCAAACTGGGCTTCTCTGGGCTCCCACTTCCCATGTGGATTTACTAACCCTGCTCCATCCCGGCAGGAGGGACTCAGAGGCTGCCTCGATGCCTGGGGGTGGCCCTGGCAAAGGAGCTCATCTTCACAGGCCGAAGACTGAGTGGTGCCCAGGCCCAAGCCCTGGGGCTGGTGAACCACGCTGTTTCCCAGAATGAGGAGGGCAACGCCGCCTACCATCGGGCACGGGAACTGGCCCAGGAGATCCTGCCCCAGGTGTGGTTGCAGTCCAGCACAGGAGGGAGGGCCTGTGCCATGGGGGAGGGAGGGGGGTGCAACTGTGGGGAGGCCAGGGGGTATGTCCCATGGGGCCACACTAGATCCACTTATCCAGACTTATCTTTTATTTTTTTAAAGAGTTTATTTATTTATTTGACAGAGAGACACAGCGAGAGAGGGAACACAAGCAGGGGGAGTGGGAGAGGGAGAAGTAGGCTTCCCGCTGAGCAGGGAGCCCGATGCGGGGCTTGATCCCAGGACCCTGGGACCGTGACCTGAGCCAAAGGCAGACGCTTAACGACTGAGCCACCCAGGCGCCCCCCAGACTTATATTTAAATTGAATTAAAAATTTAGTTTCTCTGAGCACTTGCCTGGCTCAATCAGTAGAACACACGATTCCTGATCTTAGAGTTGAGATCAAGTCCCACACTGGTGTACAGATTACTTAAAAATAAAAAAAAATTTAGTTTCTCAGTTACACTTCCCCATTTCAGATGCTAACGGCGACATGTGGCTAGTGCCTACTACATTGGACAGTACTGCAATAAAATGTCCCCAAAACTAAAAAAGCAAAATTCTAAAGCAGATAAAGAACAACCAGCTTATCTTTCCAGCCACACTGCAGAGTGGAGAAATTCCTGAAATACATCATGTAAGACATGTGTTAGGACTCAGCCTACGTGTACCAGGACAGGATCTGGCTGATGGGGTCTCCAAGGACCTGGGAGCCTCTCACTGCTGGCTTCTCACTACTCTAAGAGGACCAAGAGGGATGTCCCAAGTTTCCATATGAAAGCAGCTTGAAATGGAGCTAGGTTTTATAATTGATAGTAAATACTGACTTAGCCAATATGGAGCACTTCCTATCCATCAGACACAATCCTATGTACTTTAACAGTCTTCCTATCCATCAGACACAATCCTATGTACTTTAAAAGACTCTGAATTACTAGTAGAGTCCAGCTGAGTTGATTATCCCTGTTGTATCTGTGATATAACAGACCCAGAAACATTAAGTGACTTGCTCAATCAAGGTCACAAAAAAGTGATTGCAATACCAGAAAAAAAGACAATACTGGTATTTGGGCTTTTATTTTGCATAATACAAAATGCAGTATAAAAACTGGCATTCTAAAGAGTGCAGGGGGGCGTCTGCCTTCGGCTCAGGTCATGGTCCCGGGGTCCTGGGATCGAGCCCTGTATCGGGCTCCCTGCTTGGTGAGCCTGCTTCTCCCTCTCCCTCTGCTGCTCCCCTTGCTTGTGCTCTAATAAATGAGTAGAATCTTAAAAAAAAAAAAAAAAAAAAAAAACCACTGATGTATAGTACCCTTTTAAAAAAAATAAAGAGTGCAGAATATTATTAAACTCAAACTAAATATCAAATGCATTTCCAACACAAAAAATTAAACATGTTACAAAACAAAGATAAAAGTTTATAAAACTGTTAACCATATATTATTTTAATATTAACAGATGAAAGTATTTTAATTAATCACAAAAATTTTATTTCAGAAAAAATCTGTCTCCCTTAAATTTAAATAATCCTTCTTCTTCTAACTTTGAGGTCTTCTTTGAGGGTAAAGATTATAACTTTAAAAAATTAATAGTGAGTTCGGTCTAAAAGAAAGCATTTGTCTTTTCTTTTTTCTTTATCACATACAAACGGAATCTGATGCTGTTACCTAGACCATCTTAAAGCTGCCAGGTTTCTGTTACACTTGAGCAAAAAGTCTCTGAACCAACACAAAACTCTTGAGTGACTCAAGGTAGTGCATGGCTGACTGCACTTCCACAGTGGGGCACGGAAGGGGGGCGGCGGCTATAGCAAGCAAGACTTGTGGACTGTGGGGTTTGTCTTTTTGCATGAACTGAATGCAAGAGGAGTCAGGTTTCAGATTTTTTAATATAGTGAAGCAATGCTATTCTACTAATTACTAGTATTTCAGTACTTAAAACTAGCTTTGTATACCAAGACACCAGCTTACCAAAAATTAGTTGTACATTCACTAATCCCAATCTTTAATTCCTAGCAGAGTTACTGGGTGCCAAGAATGAGAGGGTTCCTGGATGGGGTGAGTGTTGGGGATGGTGTGGTAGTGGGCTATTCTCTAGTGGATAAACCACCAAAACTAGGGAGCCAAATGGTATATATATATATCCATACACTCAGGAAAAAAATATTATATTTTCAACACATACACACATACCATATCTATATAGTTTTTACTTTTCTTCGGTGAGAAATCAGTTTATTAGGTAGTTACCTAAACAATAATGCATATTCATAACAAGCAAAACAAATAGAACAGAAGAATATAGGGCATAAAGTAAAAATCAAAAATAGGGTCGGGTGCCTGGGTGGCTCAGTTAAGCATCTGCCTTCAGCTCAGGTCATGATCCCAGGGTCCTGGGATTGAGTCCCACATTGGGTTCCCTGCTTTGCAGGGAGTCTGCTTCTCCCTCTGCTCCCTCCACCCCCACTTATGCTCACTCTCTCTCTCAAATAAATAAAATCTTAAAAAAAAAAAAAAGTAGAGTGACCCAGGTGACCTTGTCTTCCCAAGGCTGTCCCAGTTAAAAGCAGAAGGCCCACATCCTGATAACTCTCAGTCCCTGGCAAACCAGGATAGGTGGTCACCAAAACAGCTCTCAATCCCCCAATCCCTCTCCCCAGAGATGACCACTGTTTTGTTTTTTTTTAATTTATTTTTTTTTGAGATGACCACTGTCAATTTACACACTCTTCCAGAAATTTTCATTGTATATATAAGAATATATATTATGCACATATACTCACATATTAAACTCTGAATTCCTTTTAAGATGGTTTGGGGGACAAGGAACACACCTTTAGAGGCTAATCCAGTTCTAAGAGACATTTGAAAAACATGAAATTAAAATACACATAAAGAATTCAATATACATAGTAAAGAAGTCAAACAGTATGGAAAAGTATAAAACAAAAAGTGAAGTTCTCCATTCTGACTCTTCCCAAAGGCATGTCATGCCAACATCTTTTACACAAACGAGATAACAATATACATACTTAGTATGCACCTTGATTTTTTTCACTCAATATTTTGGAGAGTTTCCCATTTCAGCACATACTTACCGACCTCATTCTTTTAAATAACTGCACACTTTTTCATTCACAGTACAGATGTGCCATCATTACTTAACCAGTACTCTAATAATGAACATGTTGCTTTTTGCTACTGCAGAATAGCTGGAGTGTATAACTAAACATCTTCATGTACTTCTGGGAGTACATCTGTAAGGTAGATTCCTACATAGAATTACAACATCAGGGTACATACATCCATCTAATAACATTTGCCAGTTCTTGCCAAGTTGCCTTCAGAAGCACTGTACCAATTTACTCCATTAATAATGTATGCAAATACCTATTTCCTGAATCTCAGCAATAGTGGGCATTATCAGCATTTTACGATTTACCTATTCTTAGGTGAAAGGGGGCACCTCATGGTTTTGAGCTACATTTCTTTAAGAGTAAAACTGAAAAATCCTTATGTTTATAACCCCTTTTCTGTGAACTACCCTTGTGAATATTTGTTAAAAAATTATGCCAGATCTTTGTAAATCAAGGACATTTGCTGGTCAGAAGTATCACAGGGGCGCCTGGGTGGCTCAGTCATTGTTGAACATCTGCCTTTGGCTCGGGTCATGATCCCAGGGTCCTGGGATCGAGCCCCGCCTCAGGCTCCCTGCTCAGCGGGAAGCCTGCTTCTCCCTCTCCCGCTCCCCCTGCTTGTGTTCCCTCTCTCGCTGTGTCCCTCTCTGTCAAATAAATCTTTAAAAAAAAAAAAAAGTATCACAAATATATCTTCTCAGTTTTCTACTTTTGTCTTTTATTCATGGCATTTTTCCCTACAGGAGGTCATTCATGTTTATGTAGCTAGCTTTTTCATTTATGGCTTCTATGTTAACAGACTTAAAAATCTTTTTTTCTGAGCAAGCTGTACTTACAGAAACCTCAAATAATACAATACAAGCAATAGAGGAAGTAAAGGCAGTCTTTGCCAGGAGGTGACGCTGGGTATGGAGTTCCAGGCCCTGTAGTGGCACAAGTTAATCAGAAGCAAGATCAGCGAAGCAAAGGTGGCCACTTTGATGCACTTGCTTCCAAGTGGCTGTGTAAAATGGCCCTTTGGGATCTCAACCCAGGCCGGTCAGACTCCACAAAGCCCAAGTTCCTCATCTTGACCTTTTGTTTACTCTGCTGGGATGAAACCTTCTTGCAGTGGAGGCTTGTATCTGCCAAGATGAGAGAGGTAGGGGAACACAGCAACAGTGGGAAAGGTGACTGGGAACCAATCCAAGTGTCACCACTCTTTGGACAAACATGCGAAGTGCTTCACCTCCCTGAGCCTCAATTAAAGATGGCACCATCCTTGAAGGGTGGGTAGCACCATTAGACCAGTCTGTGGGTAGGAAAACACTTTGTAAATGGTAGCATGTTATACACATTGGTGGGATGGATTAAATGACAAGAACCTCAGATAGTCAGAATTGGGAGGATCAGGGATCAGTCAGGCTTCCTTCATTATAGGTAAAGAATGTCAATATGGTGGCTAACTGAACATTAAAAAAAAAAAAGAGAGAGAGACTATCAACCAAGAAGTAGTAGGTACTAACACTAACAAAGTGTAACAGTCAGTAGAATAGCTGGAACTTGACCCAGACCGATCTACCTGTCCATGACTCTTCCCCCACCATGAAGCTCTGTCCCTCTCTTTATTCCAAACCCCTGTCCCCCGCCAATTATCAGCACTAATCCCCTCAACCAAGCCTTTTCTTTTTTATTTTCCCTAGGCACCCATTGCTGTGCGGCTGGGCAAAGTAGCCATTGATAGAGGAATGGAGGTGAGCAGGCTCTGGGTCAGGACTTGGGTCCACTAACGTCAGTGGGGTGGCTGGAAGGCAGTGCTTTCACATCAACGCAGGCTGAAGGCACAGCTGGAAAGAACTCAGAAATGGGACTCTTCTAACAGACACTGAGTCTGACCTCTCTCTTTGTGCCTGAGTTTACCCACCCATGAAATGTAAAGTTCGGCCAGATGACATTCTGAATTACATTTTATCTTCATCTCTCTCTATTAGAGAGAAGGTAATTGAGGTCCAGAAAGGGTAAACGACTTGTCTAGGGTCATACAGCAAGTGAGTAATAAGAACGAAGCTCCGTGTGGCTCCCAGGCCATGTTCTTGGGTTTGTGCTGGTGGTAAAGGTGACCTCAAGGATAGAGCTCAGGGTGGTGTCTTGGATGCAAACTAATCCATCCTTACACAACTTACTCATCAATTCACTCCTTACACACTGAATCTAGACCTGAGCTGAGAACTGGGACACAGAGATCAGTTAAATATGGTCACTGTCACCAAGGTGGGGAGAGAGGACAGATGAACACAGAATCACTAATACACTAATACAAGGTTAAGGATACCAAGCAGGGGTGCCTGGCTGGCTTGGTCAGTAGGGCATGCAACTCTTAATCTTGGGAGTCGTGGGTTCAAACCCTACATTGGGTGCAGAGGTTACTTAAAAAGGGGGGGGTATCAAGAAGATACCCTGGAGGGGTGAGAGCTATGATATCGATGTGGCTAGTGGCTACTACTGGGTAGTGTTGGGTTAGAGATGTTTTGTAGATTTAGGCCTTGGGAAGGATTAGGGTTTGAGAAAAAGAATGGTATGAGCAAAAGCACAGAGGTGTATAAATAAGCAACTTGACTGAATGGAAGTGAGGAATGAGTGAAACCACATAGCACAGAAGTTAGGGGCAAAGGCTCTGGAGCTAGCCTGCCTGGGTTCAAAGACCTGCTTTTCCATATACTGTTGTGACCTTGACTTTCTATGCCTGATTTCTCAGCTGTATAGTAGGGATAATAACCCTTGCTGTAAAAGTAGATGAGTTCATACACACAAGGTACTTCTCTTAGAACAGTGCTTGTAAGTGGTAGTAGCAGTAAGCACTCGGCAGCAGAGGCTGGAAAGTTGCCAGAGGCCCGGCCATAGAAGCCTAGGACGTTATTCCTCAGGGCAACAGAACGCCTGTGAAGTTCCCTCACCAGGAGGGACAGGAGGCATGGAGAGGCGGCCACCGGCTGTGCAAGCACAGCTCACTTACCCTCCTCCTCAGCTCTCCAGGCTGAGTGCCGTCCTCCCCGCTGTTTTCAAAGCCCCCCCACCCCTTTGTCCCAACATTGTTTTATCACTGTTACAAACGGTGTTCCCTCTCCAGGTGGGAAATGCCTTATCATAATCACCTCTGTCCACGTGGACTAGCATACAGTAAGCCTCAGTAATACTGCGAATCCAGTATACCAGAATACCAGACGAATCCGTCAACAGTAGGGAATGGGGGTGTAGGCAGTAGGGTGGGCAGGCTGATCAGGGCCCCACTTCCTTCTCACAGGTGGACATCTCATCAGGGATGGCCATTGAAGGAATATGCTACGCCCAGGTACGTGACTGCTGCCAGTCCGCGCACACTTCCAAGCAGAGGCCAGGCCAAAGTGGGGAGCCTTGTGCCATACGTGACCAATCTAGTAGGTTCCTCCTAACCTGAAGAGTTCGACTCTGGACCACTCCCTCCTAGAATTAGCCCGGGGCAGTCCTAGGGAACCCACCTGCTTCCCTCTGGGACTGCGGCCTCAGCCATCTAATTGTGGTACAGCCTGCCACACTCGGTGCACCCAGAATCACGGAGCACACAGGTAGGTGCCTGTCAAAGCACCACTTCTACTCTCTGTACCGGCGGCTGCTGTAGAGGCCGGGCTGGAGTTGGGATGTCACGGCCTTGGTTATAGCCTGCAGGCTGTGTGTTCAATGGGGGTGAGGGGGGGACGGAGGGGTGACCTGGGGCTGACTTATTTAGCCCTGGACTCCTGGGTGAGTCAAAAATACTAATCTCTAGAGGTTAACAAATATCCACAATACTCTTAAACAAGGAGTCCTGGAACTTGCAGAACCTGGTGTGAACTAACTACACACCAGACTCAAAGCCAGATTTCTTACTGCAAAACTTAACTGTTTTTCTCTACTAAGCAGCCGCATATCAGACTGCTGCAGACTATCATCTCTCTGGGGCATGTAAGCAGTGTGCAAGAGGCTAATGTGATAGGCCACGGATGCTAGAGATGTGGCCTGCCTTCCCCAGGAGACCAAGGAGCCACTGAGGCCCATACCTCTGCCTGGCCCATTACCAGAGTCAAGAGACAATGGAAAGATGTGGACTCTGACCTTGTCAGGGGGTAGACAAGTTTGAGCAAATCTTTATTGGCCTCTGGCCCTGCAGCTCCCCCCAAAATTAATACTCTGTCTTGTTTCAGAACATCCCCACTCAGGACCGCCTAGAGGGCATGGCAGCCTTCAGGGAGAAGCGGCCCCCCAGATTTGTTGGCAAGTGACTCCCATTTAACTATAAGCATGGGAGACGCCTGCCTTCCAGGGCAGGATCCAGAAGGAAAATTAGCAGGGTGACTGTTCATCATTTCACCTCTCTGGGCTTCAGTCTCCTCACAAGGACAAGGACAGATATAAAACCACTGGAACGGTGTCTGACACCACGGTACTGCTGATGTCACCTACAGCTACATTCCTAATCCGTCATCCTGGCTAGATAATCACTGGGGTCAAGTTGGCTTTGGAGAGTATGTCTCTCCCTACTCAAACGGTAAACTAACGATTAAAACAGACCACTCTGGGACTTCGTATTATTGGCTCTCAGGCCTGACCTCTGCCTCTCAGTTATCGGGTGCTCACCAGAGATGGCAAATGTTGTAAGAACCCTCCAGTTTCTTTCTCTGTACAACAGAGATAATACAGAAACCCTGGTAGTGGCTAAACAGGCATCAGGAATCAGACTGCAGATCCCAGCTCTCTGCCATTCATTGTGTGCCTCAGCTTCCTCATCTGCAAAATGAAACTGCTGTGAGGATTAAAAAAAAAGCCTATGCCTCATGTTCAATAAACCTGAGTTATGATTGATTAATGTACAGTGTTTTTAATAGAACCAAATGAAATTATCACTGAGAAAACTTTTTGTGAACTCTATAGGGTGGCAGGCAATCTTCGATGGCTGCAGTATATAGCCCTCAGGAGCACTGAGAAGGGAGCATTAAGTCTGAGGGAGAGAACAAAGGAAATGGGCAGGTAACACTGGAGTGAAGCCCAAAGGTTCAACAGACATTTGTGGCAAGGAGAGGGGGGCTGAGGGGGAACAGCAAGAGTGAAGGTGAGCAAGAGGACGACACACTTAGAAATGATGGGGCTTGATAAACACATATGCACACTAGCTAGCCCTCCTCCTGGACCAAGGTAGAGAAGGCTGCATCTTATGCTGCGGCCTTATGGCCATTCTTTAATTCATCTGAGCTTCCGGGGCCTAGGTCTGACCTAGAGACACTAAGCCAAGGGCACAGATATATACTCCCTCCCCCCCATTGTTGATATGCTGCTAAATACAAGTGTGCCCAAGGCTGGGTGCTCTTTTCCTGGAAGGAAGAGTAAGAGAAAAGTCCAGGCCATAAAACCAGAACCAACCATATTAGCTGGAACTATGCATTAGCTCTAACTACTCCGGAAAGTAACAACCTTACTGAACGTCCTTTTTCTCATCTGTGAAATGAGGAGAATACAACTTATCTCTCCCAGACGACTGTTGTGAATGAAATGAAACTTGGAGGGGTGCCTCAACAGGCACTAGTTCCTACCACATTCTCTCACATTAGCAAGAGCTAGTATCTGGTAACAGGATGTTCTAAAGTACTAGAACCCAGGTCAGGAAATGAAGACAGCCTTTTGGAATTATGCAGAACAGTGAATAAGAGAAAATACGGTGCAGTTTCAGAACTGTAGAAGGAAACAGGTTACAAATTCCCCTTATCCAGTGGGACACTGGTGAGCAAGAATCTGGAATATGATTCAGAGGGTAAGCCTCATTTGATTCCAAAAGATGGTATACAGTACTCCAGTTAAGAGTCTGGCCAGCTAAAAGCACAAATATCTAGTATGAAAATACGCTACTCATCAAAAAGGAATTTACTTTTGTTCTTTGGACAGATGAATGGCAAGACACATTTTGTTAGCTGTCAGTAATAAGGAAGGAATTGATACTCTGTTCCACAGGGGAGGTTTGCAAAGGACACAAACAGAAGCTTCTGGTACTGTATACTGCAGGTGAGGTTGGTTCTCAAAAGCCCCTATTTTTCTTGCCTCCATTCTAGGCAAGAGCACTCTTGAAATCTATAGCAAAGTCTTTTTTCTGGCTTCCTCCTCCTCCTGGGTTGGTCACAATCCCACTAAAATCAAAACCTTACAGGATCAAGATTTACAGTCCCCATATAATCTTCATCTAAACACTCTACTTGAAATCCTAAATTCTACTATTTTCCACCACCACACCCACTTACACAGCATGTTATGTTCACTCAGTCTAATGTGTAAAGTTGGAGGAAGAAAGGCCAGAGGCAGAATATCCAAAATTGTAAAAAAAAAAAAAAAAGTTATTTTTCTTCCCTCTACCCCCACAAGTGGAAGATACTTCGGTATTTATTTTTTAAAAATTCCCCCCACCTTGTTCCTCCCCTCCAATGGAGATTCTGCCTCCAATAAGCATGTATTTCCCAGAACTTTTTCACATACTTCTTTTCTATTAGCTTCACATAACTAGAAATAACAACTCAGGATATTCTTTCAAACATGAAATTTAACATAAATACGAAGGTCTCCCTGTTGGTCTTTCTTTTCCCCTTCCTCTGACAAACTCCCACAGTTAAGAAACTGGCCAGGGTTAGGAAAAGTAATTGGCAGAGCTGTTGCAACACAAGCACACAGATCTTCCCACGGAGTCCGAGACTTGATTTTGCAAAACTTTTTTTTTTTTTTTTGATTTTGCAAAACTATTGAAGGGGTGTTCTCAGAATGATTCCAACTTGATTTGGGATTATGGCTATCATTCAAATCCAACCCTTTTGTAGCCTACAGAAAATCAACAATAAAAGGCCAGTGAGGCGGCCAACTCACAAACTCCAATGACAACTGGTTTCAACATTCAATTACTGGCAACGCAGAAGTCCTGACACTGAGAACAGAGAGCACCTCTGAAGCTCCAGAGGTTAAGAAGGGCATTCAACACAGAAGGGGTCTCTGATAGTTCATGAAATGCATTCTGAAGTCATCTAGCATGGAGGTTGCAATCTGCTGTGCTTGGGGGTCTGCCTCACTGTGCTTCTGGATGTCACACAAAAGCTGCAATCCTTCTTCTTCAACTAACATTTTGCAGTATTTGCTGGCTGAAAGAAAATCAAACAAAGAAACCTGGTGGACAAATTGGCATTTTAAATATTCCCAAGTCACCACATTCACCGTTTTGAAGAAAGGGTACCAAGGTTTAAGCCCCTTGACATAAGAATTAACAGATAAAATTAGTCAATTCAAAAGAAATATGTCAAAACTTAAATAATGCTTGACTTGTGTAGTGCGGTAACAAATGATTATTTTAGTATGTTTACTTCCAGACAACTCTAAGCTTCAAAATCTCTAATCCTAGCTAAAAGAATAAGAACTTCATTTATTATATATGTAATAAACATTTCAAGTTCAGGCATTATGTTGAGCTAGATAACCTGAAAACACCAGATGCTGGATAAAAATGTAACAAAAAATTTAAATGCATATTCATGTGTACAAAGTAAAGGATTTGTCCAGGAGCCAGATACAAAGAGCAGAGAGCACCTAAACTCATGTAACTACCTAGAGTTATTCTGGGGCAGAAAGGGACTGTGAGTTTCAGTAATCCAAGAATTTAGGTTTTAACTTACGAAGTTAAAAGCAGTATGTATATAATAAAATATATATCAGTGCATAAAGCTGGTCCCTCAAAGGACTATACAGGAGAAGGGATAAGACAATGAAACATCTTTAAGATTGGTCTGGGCTCTAGGTGGGTATACAGGAGTGGGCTGGACAAGTCTTTCCCAAGAATTCCTAACCACAGTACTGAGTTGGTATAAGATTTGAATTTAACCTACACCTAAATGTTCTGGGAACCCTTGAGCTGAGAAGTTAACATAAAAATTAGTTCAATACCAGAGAAACCTCTAGAGCACCTGACAGAAGCAAATACAAAATTGCCGAAGGAACACGTCTACAACGCAGCCTAGAAAAGATTCTCTTAATCAGTCCAAAAGCCAATTAGACACAGAGAGATATAATGATCTAAAAACACTGCAGTTACCAAGAATGTAGCACAAAGAAACAGACATGGAAATTGTTCTTTTAAACATTTAAAAAATATATTTTATTTATTTATTTTTGAGAGAGAGAGAGAGAGAGTGAGAGTAAGGAAGGGGAGAGGGACAGGGACAAGCTGGCCCCATGCCCTGCACGGAGCCCCATGTGAGGTCAATCCCACAACCCTGAGATCACAACCTGAGCGGAAATCAAGAGGCAGACGTTCAACCGACTGAGCCACCCAGGCATCCCTGAAATTATTTTTTAAGTCTACAGGATGTGTAGGATAAAGTGAGAGAAGATACAAGATACTTCTGCTAGACATTCCATAAGGAAAGTATAGGGAAAGGGTAATATTTTTAAATAGCTGAGAATTTTCATCAATTTTGAAAAGTTTAACTGTGACCTGAAATCCAGAGGCCATATAACAAAAGGCTGACTAAACACAATGAACAAAGTCAAGATGATAAACTGGGAAAAAATATTTGCACGAGTTCCTTCAAATTAAAAAGAAAAAGACCAACAAACAATAGATAAAAGGTGAATAAAGAATATCAATAGACAATTCAAGGAAAAAAAAAAAGGACTCTTCATTATAAGATGGTTAACTGCACTTAAAATGTCAAGTGAGACTATCACTTTCACCTTAGATTGGCAAAGATCAAAAAGTTCAATTAAACATTGTTGTAAGAATGTAAGGCGACTGGCAAGCTCTCATACATTGCTGGCAGGAATGAAAATTGGTAATCAATTCTCTGGAAAACAGTTTAGCAATAACTATCAAAATTATAAGTGTTCCTAACATTTTGACTCAGCAATTCTACATATTCTGCAGATGAACTCACACGCTTGCAAAATGACGTATTTTATTTAATAAATGCTATGTGCTATGTGTGAACTAATACTATGCTATGTACAAATGCTAATACTATGAGCCAAGCAGTGTTTTAAATGCTTAACAAATATTAACCCACTTAATTCTCATAAACAGCCCTGTGAAGTATTATTTTATAGATAAGGAAACGGGGACACAGTGAGGTCAAGTAACTTGCTCAAGTTCCCACAGTTAGTAAATGGCAGAAACTGGGAACAGAGCACAGACAGTCTGGTTCTAGCATCTGTCCTCTTAATTACCCACATGTGCATCTTCACCTGATAGATATAGTGCGTAAATGTCTATTCATTGTATATGAATATGTTAATATTCACTAAACTAGTGCTTACAATAGAAAAGACTAGAAATAGAAACAATGTCCATCTAAAGCAAACTGGATCCATATAGTTAAGAAATACTAAGCAGTTTAATTCATAGTGGTGATGTGGAGTTCTGCCAGTTGCTAGCTATTTTAACTTTGGGCAAGTTACATAAGTTCTCTGTGCCTTGTTTTCTCATCTGTAACAGATGGATAATAAAAATAATAATGCTACCCTCTTCTAGTTGTTGTGAAGATTAAATGAGTTAACTCATAAAGAGCTTGCAATACTGCCTGGCACAGAGAAAGTACTCAACTAAGTTCTAGTTGTTATAGTTATTGCTAGTCTGTTCCAGGGCCATTCTGACTGGCAAATCTGCCTGTATCTGTTCATATGCCAGCAACATTCACAATACTTTTTTTTTTCTTTAAGATTTTATTTATTTATTTGCGAATGCAAGAGAGAGAGCAAGGGAGCACGAGTGGGGGGAGGCAGAGGGAGAAGCAGACTCCCCACTGAGCAGGAAGCCAGACACGGGGCTCTATCCCAGGACCCTGGGATCAT